TGGCTGTCTTCAGATTCTTCTGGGTCTTCTCAGCCTGGGAAGCACAGAGCAAGGAAAGCAAGGGCAGCAAGAGCTCGTCATTCCAGGACCTCACTCAGCGTATGTTACACACACTCACTCCTTCCTTACAAAGCACTTAGCAACCTGGGACCCCCTACTTGCACAGAACTGTGAACTGCATGTAAACCTTATTGTAAGCCATGCAATAGGTTGGTCCCTTGAGCACCCTCTTGGTAATTCTTCTTCTGAAATGAAGAGAAACTGGCATATCCAGATTGGACTGGTATTGGGTGTATACTCAGTAAGGAAGACTGTTGCCTCTGAATGAATTTTTGAGGAAAACCACCACTTACCATTTTACACCTATATGCAATTAGTAGTGCATATGATTAAAATCAGACGCATCATGGGAAAAAGACACGCACAGCAAACAAATCCTTTTGTAACCCAAACCTGTCAGTCCAAACTTGAAGTCAACATGCCTTGATCCTTAACCACCAAGCCCTCCTCCTCTTGGACCCATGAAGACAGTCCCAGACAGTGACCCGGTGCCCTTTGCCACTCCAGCTCAGATGTCCCACTGTTCTCTGGCAATGAATCTGGCCTGGACTTTTGTTTTGCTTTTGAATAAAACCCTTTGCTGTTACGCTATTCATGTGCACACACCATCATTTTCTGAATGAGAGCTGGAAACACCCAATCCAGACACCAACACCAACCTCTTGTTCTTTAATGGTTCTGTGTTGCTTGTTGTTCAATTCAGTCCAAATATTTGTGCACTTGAGGTCTTACTTTCCTGCCCCTCCCAAGCAGCCAGTTCTCAGAAGACAGGGCCTGTGGCTCAGGGCCTGGCAAAGTTGGGCGCCTGTTAAGTATATGCTCTCTTGTCTAAAACTACTCTTAGCTAGTGTTCTTCCCCAGTGCTCCCATTTCTAGAAGCTGTAGCTTGTCATGAGAAGGTATCTGTTCACTTGGAAAGCACCAGTCAAAATCAGTAAGGGAACCTTGCCATGCAGGGCTCCCATTGAGTCCCATTGAGAGGACCCCTTTTTCCCTGGGTGAGGAGCTCCAGACCCTGGCACTTAGGGGGAAGGTTTCATTTCCTGTTGGGTCAAGTCCAGGTTTGCAAGTGACACTTGGCACTGAGCAATTACTAGCTCTATTGGCAATGTCAGTGGCAACCTACAGCAGAGAATTCATTAGCTACATCAACTGAGAAGTTATGAGTAGATCAACAACCTCCCCAAGGAGCTTGAGGACTGCTCTGCACATCTGGGGAGCACTGGGGAGCACTGATGTGGAACATCTTATTCTAATGGCAGGACTGGACTAATTGGGGCTGTGGGGAAGCTTTTAAGTGGCACGTTTTGACAGTCTGAGGAGCTCTAATAGCAATGTGACCATATCACGTGTGGGTGATACCACAGTGGAATTTATAAAGGGCCACTCTGTAAGTGAACTGTGGAAGATTAGGAGCTGTTATAGCTGATGATACATATCTGTCTTTACTGAGGTAGAAAGATGCCTCCAACTCATTGTTGAACAAAGAAAGTAGACTCTAGACTATTATAACGATGTTAAATTATTCAAAATTTACACTAATATCCAGTCATAAATGTGTGGCATCTTCTGAAGTGTTAAGAGTAGTTATCTATGGGGGCCGAGATTTTGTGTAATTTTTCATTAATTAAGAATTTAAATAAATTTTATTTATTATTAGCATTGTGTGTATATGAAGTACATGAATGGGTGTACACATGCCACCTTGCACGTGTCAGCGTCACAGGACAGCTTGTGGAATCCTCGGGGTTGAATTCTGGTTGTGAGGCTTCTGTGGTCAGGACCTTTAGCTGCTGAGCTATTTTCCTACCCCAATCTTTATGCTTTAGATAGTATTTTTGTATTGCTTGGGTTTTATTTTTACAGTGAACGGTTATTGTCTTTTTAATAAAACACGGCTCTTTCAGATTACAAAAAGTTACTAGGATACAAAAACCTCATGAAGAATAACCTTCAGATATCCTTTAAAATTCTTACTGTAAAACAAATGAAAAACAAAACTCATTCCAAAGCAATTTTATTGCTGTACATTCACTGTACATAGAGATGGGTTTCATAGACATCTTCCTGTAAGTGTATCGTGTATACACACTCCTCTGTCCTCTCCCTCTTTGTCTCTCTAACTACTTCCCATCAGGAACAAACAAAGAAAAATCATTCAGCTTATCCCCAAATGGAATGCCATAACATGCCAACTGGGTAACACGGTAAAAGAAGAAACAAGACAGACACCACTGGGCACAGTACAACTCACATTTTATTCTGTCTTGACTGGTGTACATTAGGAGCAGGCAGCTGGAAACTAGCATCGGTACAGAACTCCTCTGGACTAACGGGTCCAGGGAGATATGGCTGGCTTTGGCACACAGACTGGATAACCATACGCTGGCTGGAAGACGGCAGGCAAGAAGATAAAAAAGCACAAACCTAACACCGCACGGAAACTATGTCTGAATTCTGTAGTGTGTCAGAGAGTAACATGCAACCCTACATAGGCCACACTGTGAGACTACAGCCTATCTTATTTTCCCTTCTTAGAGATAAGGAGATGGTGGCCTTAGTATTCAGTTCCTAGTAGCATATTAGAGCAATGAACACACTGTGGAGAGAGATCTGCCACCGATTCTCACAGCAACCCACCAGTTAAAGACATAATGCTAAATAACACAGTCCTTCTAGCTCATATCTTCTCTAGACCCACTCATATTGACTTATATACTTAGTTAAGTGTAACTCCTCATGTCTTTACGATGTCAAGAAGCATTTTTGTTAGTTTTCCATCTTTGTGAGACACAACGGACGAGAGGGAAACTTGGGTAATGACATCTTTCCCTTTCAGAGGTAACGTTACAACGGTGAGAACATTGAAGGAGCAATGCCACACGTATTTTGAGTTTTCATGTCACTGTGTCACACAGGGAGTCTGAAGAGCAGAATAAGATGGGAAAGAGGCAGCGACTCTAGTCAGTTTCTCAGGACAAACAAGGAAAGGGGGACACAAAGGAAAGGAGAATTGGAAAACCACCTTTGGGAGAAGAAACTGTCACCATGAAAAATCTATTCACTTGTAATTGACTCAACATAACAGAGGACAGTTCTGTAACCAGGTTGATAGAAGGGACAAGTACATGCTGGTACGTGTACAGTGGGCTGTTTTCCCAGTGGTTGCTTTTGAGATGGTCACCTCTCGAAAGGAGATTCTGTTTTTTTTTTGCTAGTGTAGGGTCAAACTTAACCCCCAAAGGCAACCACAATTGCACAGAACATTTTTTTTTATTAATTTAGGCAATTGGCTCACAGCCACTTGTCCTGGAAAAGACATAACTATTCACCCATGATACTTTGTGAAATATGATAGTGACCAGGATATGGTTCATTCACAGGGTGTACAGAGTTAGAGATTTGCATGTGATATGAGTCAAAAGTTAGACAGCAAGGAAGAGATGGGGATTCCTTCAGAGAGATTGCCAAATAAGAGAGAAGTGGTGAAGGACGCCTTGATTTTATCACTTCTATCTGCTGAGGGGACTGCAGCGAAGGCCGGTCTCTCTTGCATTCATTACAAGAAACACTGATCACAGAGAGAGGAAAGGAGAGATAGAGCTGACGTAGACCTTGTCTCCCCAACCTTAAATATCAAATGACAAACTGCAGGCTACACAGCAAAGGTAGAAGTGACCAGAAGTTTGATGACATGCCTGTCTGGGTCACCCTGCCTTGTAAAGTACCATGTCCCTGGCCTGTTTCAGCTTTTTTTTTTTTTTTTTTTTTTTTTTTTTAAGATTTATTTATTTTATTTATGAGTACACTGTAGCTGTCTTCAGACACACCAGAAGAGGGCATCCAATTTCATTACGGATGGTTGTGAGCCACCATGTGGTTGCTGGGATTTGAACTCAGGACCTCTGGAAGAGCAGTCAGTGCTCTTAACCGCTGAGCCATCTCTCCAGCCCATGTTTCAGCTTTTTTAAAAAAGGAATGCACTCTTCCTTTGCTGTGGCATTGTTCTCTGTGAGAGACCTGTGTAAGCTGAACGTTGTGTAATTTGAAGTTTCAGCTGAATTCCACAGTAAACATTCACGGATATTTCACAGGAGACTCATACATTGTTTGAGGTTGACTTTAGGAACTATTTCCTGATTGCCCTCCTAGGCCTTGGGGGGAGGCAGCTCCCTCCGGCTCTCACCAGACTACCAACAAGCATTTTTAGATGCTAAGCCTCTTTTGAAGGAAATGACTTTTTCAAGATCATGATGATTCTAAGGGGATAGATACAAGGTGAATCAGAGGAAGCTGAAAAAGGGGGAGGTGGTGAAGTGGATAAGGATTTCCCCCCATGATCCTATAGGACCAGTCATGAGGCAAAATCATGGCATGTGACTCAGTCTCTCTAAGATGTACCCATGAGTTGTTTCTAGGCTTCTGTGTCTAACTAACATCCTGTATCAACTGCCCGAGGCTGAGTTTACCTTGCTAGGTGTGGTAATGGAAACCCTGTCAGGATGTGCCTCTGTGAGGTTCCTGTTCCCCAACCAGCCATTCTGATTTGCTGCTGGTGGCAGGAGACATGGTTGTGACCTTTGGGAAGGCATACAGAATGCAAGACCTTGGAGGTATCCAAGGTCAAGGTGATTCTGAAAGAAGTGGGAAAGGCTACAGAATGACCCAGAAGAAAGGTTTTTTAGAGGCGAGAAGAGAGGGGAATGGGAAAAATCCATGTTCTAGGGAATTTCACAGGAACCAAATGTGATTCATGATACAGAGAAAGAAAGTCCCTTACTTAACTGGCTGGTCAGGAAGACAGTCTTCAGAATGCCCTGCAACTAAAGTATTCCCACACTAAGAACACCAACACTGAAGCTAGGGCTTCCACACGGCCAATCACATCCCAGTGGTTCGTTAGTTCTCTATTTCCTAGGTTGTTTAACTCTTTTAGCAGATGAACAGGTTAGGTACCACCGTGAGGAAAACGAGGGTGTGGGAAATGAGGTGATTAAAATTGGAATTAGTTTTTCTTTCTTTTTTTTCTTTTTTCTTTTTTTTTTCTTTTGTAAACAAGAGTTAGTAGCACAGTGGCACAGTAGATTGTCAAAGGAAACAGGAGGAATGGGTACAGAGCCATCAGCCTGGCCTTGGCCACCTGCTGGCCACAGGGGAGGGCCTCTCCAGCTCAGGAGTCTATCTTCTTGTTAATAAAAACGGAGCAGCAGGTGAGCAAGCCGTCCACCTTTTCCATCTCCGAATTGCTCACAGGGATCAGTAGATGGTCCTTGAGTTTCTCATAAACCTGTGAGGCAGTGGGAGTCAAGAAGGAAGAGGAGAAAGAGGAGAAGGTTACATCCTGGGCTATTCCATCACCCTCAGAGACAGAGAACAAATTCAGTTCATGGATCCGTGTTTTTCAGTCATTTAGGCCCAAGGTATACACATCCGCAAACCCATCCCAGAGCTGGCCACAAGTGGTTGACCTCTTCCAAATGAAGGATGTACGTCCAACATGACTGTTGCTGGAGTTATCTGCCATTGTCATTCCTCCTGAATCCACTGCTAATCAAACCTGGTGGCTGTGTGTTCCATCTGTGTGTCCCTCCCCTTCACTCTGACAGACTCCTAACTACACTTTCACGTTCCGTCCCCAACCAACTCTACTAGAAAAATGAGACAGAAATGTAAGTTAAGTGTGTGCTGCCTGCTGGTCACACTGTGTTTAAATTATAGGTGTGAATTTTATAGTATCTTTCAACCGTAATGGAAAGTATGTGTCAAAACATCCAATTAACTGTCCACAGATTTGTTTTTCCCCCACCGTGATCAAAAACACACTTTAAAAAACAAAATTACTTAAACATGCTGCTTAAAAACAACCCAGCTTGATTCTTCTAGAAACGATGCATTCCTTAAAACTCAGCACACTGCTTGGGGTGATGGAACCGGCTGGGCTCCGAATCCAGGCCCATCAACTGACTACCACCATTTCAGCGAAGTGGCAGTCCTTCCAAGCTCATTCACTTCTCTGGAAGGCTGGGCTGCCACTACTACAGGGACTGCTGTTACAGAGGCTAGAGAGAATGCTTCGGAAACGCTCAGCACAGGGTCTGGCCCAGAAAGACCCTTGGTGAACAAGGGCGTTACTGATGTTATTCTACCGTTAACGGAAGAAAGGCTGAACTGAGAGGCCGTTAATGATATTCCCGTTGCTAGGTGATCAATGAGGCTGAAGTGGCATGAAGTCCTCAAAGTGGGGTCTGTGGACTTGCAGCTTGTTCCTATTGCAGAGTCTAGGCTGGGGGCCCAGGAACCTGCATTGCTAACGACTCTGGCACAGAAGAGGGTACGATCCGTGGTTCATCTAGGAGCTACTGTAGTCTTTGTCTAGTACTGGGAGTCTTACATTTGCTTCAGATTCACACTTCTACTATGGTAAGAGAACCAAATTACGTCTGCACTCCCCCTACTCTCTGTTCATGTACTAGCAGAGCGGCCACGATTAAGAGAACAAACCTCGTCTAATACAGTACTGTCTGTGTAAAAAGCGCAGCAAGGGGTATGGGGTTGAAATGGTTTGAGCAGGAAAGGGACAGCCTTGCGGGCAGAGGGACCCGAGCTTTTTGCCAAGACCTCACGTAGCAAAGGCTAGGTGTAGTGATGTCTATTTGTGACCGTAAGCACTGGGCAGTGGAGACCTGTGGTGTGATCCCTGGGGTTGTTACTGACTTAGAGTAGCGTGTGCCTGGTAAATTCTAGGCCTGGGAGAGACCATGTCTCAAAACCAAAAAGTGGGTGGAACCTGAGGAAAGATCTAATATTGTTCCGAGGCTTTCAGACGCACTGGCATGTTCATGTTCTCTCTCTCTCTCTCTCTCTCTCTCTCTCTCTCTCTCTCTCTCTCTCTCTCTCTCTCTCTCTCCCTCTCTCCCTCTCTCTCTCTCTCTCTCTCTCTCTCTCTCTCTCTCTCTCTCTCTCTCTCTCAGATGTACCCATGGTACCTCATGAAGGATGCACACTAAGGGCTGGAGCACAGATGGAAGAAGTTCTTTTTTTTTTTCATTTTTAGTTTTTGGAGACAGAGTCTTGTGTAGCCCAGGTTGACCTTGAACTCACTGTACAACTGAGGTCCGGCTTGAACTTCTAATCCTCTGCCTTTCAAGAGAGAGGATGACGGGTGTGTGCCTCTACACCCTGCTTGTGCTCTGTGCTGAAGATTCCCCTCAGGGCTCTGTGCTTGGTAAGCCAGCATTCTGACAGTTAGCTACCTCCACAGCCCTTGGAGCTCTTGTGTGAGAAACCTCAACTAGCAGGCAGCACCACCCCAGCCATTGTGTGTGCATGACTGACCAACTGCATGAGAGAGAAAAGTCAATAAACGGTTCCCTTGCTATCAATGGTCCTTTCCGCCGTCAGTGTATTGATCTGTACAGCAAAAGGATGCCCCTTTTTGCCATTCCATCATGAGAAGGTTCCCAGGGAGGCTAGCTGTAGGACGGATGGTATTTTTACCTTTGCACTCTCTGGGTACTCTTCTGGGGTTCGGTGCAGCAAGACATGCCCTTTGCTGGGGATATTTAGATATATACAGTTGGCAGCCATGTCGTCAGGTACAGTGAGCTTGTCATAACGATGGTCACTCATCTGCTGCATGATCTATAAAAACAAACAAAGCACGCTGAAGTGGAGCCTCCCACACTCACGGGGAGGAAGGCGATAGGGTGGGACACAGGCCTGTAAAGACCACCTTAGCCTGCTCTGTAGCTCAGGTTCCTGATGTCACCTCCAGTCACTCAGAGCCAGAGAAGAAAATCTGATCTAGCAGTGATCTTATGCGTGTTCTCGTTCTCTTACAGCTTGTGTTTGTCTCTGTTTTTAAAAACATATCTGTACTTTGGCTTCTGCTCCTAAGACATACCAGCAACGCATAAAGCAACCAGGTGCAGAAATTTGGCTGGAAGTTTGATAATATTCTTGGCTGAGAAAACACGGCTGCCCTGGTCTTAGGTAAGACAGATTGTTACATTAGAATGCTCAGTTAAGAGGTGCCATGAACATGAACAAGCACACACATTCTGATCTTCAGTGTACATTAAAGCCAAGGCCCCAATTTCCAAGAGATTACAGCTAAAAGTAGATAGTTATACTATAGTACTAATAGAATGGGCGCCAGGATACACACCTGATACTTACTGAATCTCAGGCTTTCCATTTGAAGGTGTTATTAGCATACAGTGATGTATAACAATGGCTTTCACAATGGCATTTCTATACATGTCCATAATGTGCTTTGACCGTATTTACCTCTCCCCAGTTACCTTCTCTTGCTCTTTCCACTCCTCACTTCCTTTCTCTTCCCAACCAGTCTGCCTTCTGCTCTCATGTCTTTCTATTTCTTGATGAGCCAATACGTTTCCTTAGCCTGTGTCTGTATTTGAAGCGCCTCCATGATTTCTTCTAGTAGTTACGAAGTTGCAGGGCTTACGTTGAGGTCTTTGATCCATCTTGAGATTTATAAATCAATTCTGCCCTACTAAAAAGATCTCTCTTAGGCAGCTCACTTTACTCTTTCTAAACCTTCACAGCTGAGACAGCACCAAGGATTATCAGAGGGAGGCCCAGCGATTGAAGGCCGCAAAGAGATCCTCAAAACATAGTATGTAACGGCCGCTGTTCCCCATTCAAGCCTGAGCATTTATAAACAAAACCCAGAAAATCCATTAAGCTCATTCACTTAATTCCTCAAGCACTAGGGAGAAGCATGAGCAGGCTTTGGTCCCAATACATCGAGGCGGGGTCCTTCCACCATTACTGAATACCAGATAATAGCTGGTTGGGTTTGCAGCTCAAGTCTCGGTAAATAGATGACTCAGTGAATGCTCTATTCACAGGGAAGGAAAACACAAGACTCACTGAAAGAGAAGTATCTTGCCAAGACCACAAAGCTGGGGTCTCACTAGGATCTCTTCTCTACTTGAGCAAAGTGGGCAGATCCCCCACCTGTCTATCTGACTCACATGTGCCCAAGGGTGACGACCAGGCAGGACGGTCATCACTGGCTAGTCCTTGTTTACCAGCAAGGGAACACTAAGTCTCCAAGTTGGTAGAGTTGAGAAAGTGCCAACAAGAGACTAGACTTCCTCTCCCGCCCCCATCTGCTTCCTCCAGGGAGCTGTCCACTCCTTCTTTGGCCCTTGAGTTTTCTACTGTCGATGATGGCATTTATTTGAAATTCTAATCTCTGCTTTTCCTCACTCTTTTCTTAATCACCTTTTCCTGAGCTTTATTCGTTAGAGCTTCTGAGGGGGCATTCCAGAAATTACTGACATAAGAGCTGGCAGCCAAGCTAGAATAGTTTGAAGATAGTTTCATTTTTTCTTTCATTACTGGGAAGAAAAGAATTATAATTTTCTTAATAGGGGAATAATTTAATGCTGAAGATATATGAAGCAATTTACTGATAAATTCTACTGAGAGTCTCTCTTAAAACAGACGCCTTAACAGACTACCAGCACTACCTCAGGAGAGCCCTTCCAATTAATTTATCCAGGCCTCCTTGTTATCATTTTGTGGCAAATTATAAACCGTGCTGTAAGAAATGACTTTTAATAATGAATCGGCTACACGTGGGACTGTGAACAGTGCTGTCCAACACAAAAACCAAAAGTTCCATATATCCGGAGGGTCTCTCTCTCTCTCTCTCTCTCTCTCTCTCTCTCTCTCTCTCTCTCTGTCTCTGTCTCTGTCTCTGTCTCTGTCTCTGTCTCTCTCTGTCTCTCTGTCTCTCTCCCTCCCTCCCTCCCTCCTCCTCCTCTTTCTCTCTCTCCCTCTTCCTCCTCCTCCTCCTCCTGTTCCTCCTTTCACCCCTTAAAGGATTTTGAAACAGTAACTGAAAATAATAAACAAGCAACCCTTCTTTTTCATAGAAAAGACTTGCTTATTCTGGACATGTAGAATTTCTGCCATGTTAGCTGAGGACCAAGTTCCCCTTTCCTGTCCACAGTGTTCATTGTTCATTTTCATTGCCTGTGTGCTGCTATTGACTGGTGAGATGGTTTGCCAATCACTTACAGCTAGCTGTGTCCAAGACACACACACACACACACACACACGCACACACACACACACACAGTGCAGTGAATTTGCTGTTCAGGGGACAGAGAAAGGAGCAGGGACCACTGCTCTTCATGGTGTGTGCCTGTGTGTGTGTGTGCGCACATGTGTGCATGCCTGCATGTGTATATGTGTGTGTGCCTGTGTGTGTATGTGTGTGTGCATGTCTGCATGTGTGTGCATATGTGTATGTGTGTGCATGCCTGCATGTGTGTGTGTATGTGTGTGCATGCATGTGTATGTGTGTGTGTATTGTGTGTGCATTTGTGTGTGTGTGTGTTACCAAAAGGATGATCTTACACTAGGCATCCTGGCAGGGCAACACTTCAAAGGGCCTAGGCTCCCAGAGAACAAGCAGAGGTACAGGTTTCTCTCCCCTTATGCTCAGAGTCTTGGGGAAAGATGAGCATGGTCCTAAGCATCCCGAGAATGTGACTGCTGGGCTGACTTGCGTTCCAGCATTTTCTTAAGAAGGATGGAGGAAGTGGCTTTGTTCCAGAGTTCTTGGCAAAGTGTTTGAGTAGCAGTAAGGACTGAACTTCCTGCTTGTCATAGCACCCAGCACCAAAATGGAAGCAGAAAGCACCTAAACACTCTGTCTGCACGTCATCAAATTCCTCCCAGAGCAGATTCCTCTGTATCCCTAGAGGCTTTGGGCTCAACTGAAAGAAATCCACCTAAGTGCCATGCTATCCGGTTTGTGGGGGAAGATTTGCAAAGGCGAGCTGCATTCCAAATGTTGTTTCTGACCTTTGTCAGTGGGATTATTATTCTCCTTTGAGTAACCAAACCAGAATGGTGATAATTGGGACTGGAAGCTATTGATGTCTGGACCAACTCAACAGGCTTCACACGGTACCCCCCTTGGGGCTAGCCACAACGGCCATGTAAGGTGGAAATAAGACAGATGCAAGGATGTTCTAAGTGCTGCCTCCCGGAGGTGACAATCTATAATTCACGTGATGCCAAGCATGGGAAGGGTAGAGTCTGCCTCTCTTTCTCACAGGCACCCTCTTAACCCAGAAGGCACACATCCCTAGAGAGAAGGGGGCTTTGGGTATTGCTGAGGCCACAGGAGCATACTTGGGTCTCTCTCAAAGCTGCTGTCTTGGAGGGACTGGCCTGGCTCCCCAGAGTGGAGTTGCCACAAAGGAGTGGGAACGAGTGGGAACCAGTGGGAACATGCTGGCATTCAGCCCGTACAATATGCGCAGCCAGTCACATTAACCAGGCATTTCCGGCAGTTTCCCACATTTCTGGGAATTTTCTCGTTGAAAGGATTGGACGACAGCCCCATTCTTCTGCTTCTTACTCATGCCTTCTTTGTATTACAGCAATTACATTAAAAAAAAAAATCCTGGGCTGTGTAGCTGGACAGAAGAACTTAAGGCTTAATTGATCAAATACTGAGGCAAAGAGATAAAGAAGGCATTTAAAGATGGTTAGGAAATATTCCAAGCACATTTTTGGCTTGCTCATAATTGATCCCCGCCATGATATATATGTATGTACCCATCTCAACACATTACAATGAAATCAATATTAAAAGCAACTAATTATAGAGTCCACCGAGAGATACGGGACACAGCGCACAATCACTTCTCATTGCTACTAGGTAGCTGAAATAAATCTTTATTGATTTATCCATGCCTCAGGAGTCTATTGAAAGCCTGGTAACACAGAGCAGGCTCCAAGTCCTGGCAACTCTTTGAGGGACCAGCCAGCATAACTGGGTAATATTATAAATCTCTCACATGTCCTCACATTTCCTGGGCTCTCAGATGAGCGTACATGAACACATCCTGAGAGCCATGCCTCTAATTAAGTAAATGACTGTACTGAGGATTAAAACCAGAGCAAGCACTCTACCACGAAGCTATGTCTCTGTCCGTTGCTGTGTGGCATTTTTTGTTTGCTTGTTTGTTTGTTTTTGAGACAGGCTCCCAACTCATAGCTCTGGCTGTTCTTCCCCCCCCCCCCCCCGCCCTGTGACCTGCCTGGATCTGTCACACGGATGCTGGGAATAAAGGTGTGTGACACCATGCTTGGCTTGGATGTGTGCTTTATTTTATTTTAGTTTTTTGAGTCAGGGTTTCTCTATGTAGTCCTGGCAGTTCTGGAACTCACTCTGTAGACCAGCCTGGCCTCGAACTCAGACATCAGCTTGCCTCTGGCTCCCAAGTGCTGGGATTAAGGACATGTACCACCACCTCCTGGCTTCAGATGTGTATTATTATTCTTAGATTTATTTATTTATTTATTTATTTATTTATTTATTTATTCATTTATTATATGAGTACACTGTCGCTCTCTCTTCAGACAGACCAGAAGAGGGCATCAGATCCCATTACAGATGGTTGTGAGCCACCATGTCATTGCTGGGAATTGAACTCAGGACCTCTGGAAGAGCAGTCAGTGCTCTTAACAGCTGAGCTATCTCTCCAGCTGCCAGATGTGTACTTTTTAAAATAATAATTTTTATTTATTCTTTGAGGATTTCATATTAGTTTACCATGTATTTTGGTTACATCTATCTCCACACC